CACCACCACTACCACCACCACCAGCTCCCTTCTTCTCCTCTGGGGAAAGAGAACAGGAAAGGTGAGAGTCCTGTCCCTCTCTCCCCTCCCCCACCTCCCCTCCATCCCCACTCCACAGTTTTCAGTCCAAGCAGTAAGAAATGTAGGGCTACCTGCCTCCACCCCTACCCTGGAAAACTGGGAACAACTATGGGGAAGAAGCATCTTTGGATTTGGCCCTTGAGGGTGTTCAAGAGGAGACCTCTGATGCCAGGAAGGCCCTGGCTCAGGTCCCTGAATAATGTCTGGAAGCCCCAAGGAGGCACAGGCCCAAGGTCTCTTTCTGTGGAAGTGAGAGGTAGAGAGGGGAGGGTAAAGCACTGCTGAGAGAGCTTTGAGGGGGGTGATTTTTCTAAAGAGATTCATAGCTCTGAAGGCAGTAAGGTCCAAGCCCCCTTCTCTAGAGGACAAGTTATCATGGATCCCAACCTAGGTACTGACTGGTTAAATGCCTTGGGTAAAATACCAGTTTTCTCAGTGCCTTGTTCCTGCCTGCTTCAAGGCCTTAGCACATGCTGGTCCCTATGCCAGGACTCTTTACTGCCCCAGCTACACTTTGTATCTACTTAATTCTTCCTCCTCATCCTCAAGACCTCAGCCTTAATGTCTCTTCCTCAAGAACCCGAGTCTGTCATCGAGCCCTCCCCCGACACCTACACCCTGTCAGGTCCCCAGGGCATTGTTTCTCCTTCATCGCTTAGTTCCTTCCCAAGGTTATAAACTCATGAGTACAGAAATTCCACCTGACTTATTCCCAGCTGTATTCCCAGGACCCAGCACAGTGCCTGGCACTATTTAGACAAATGAATCAATCCATGGTTAGCAAACTGCAAAGGAGAGTGGGAGAATCCATGCCTGTCCCCAGTGAGCTCCCTGCTCACATTCACAGACCACAGTTACCCAGCTCACTCTCCAATGCTACCCTGGTGAGCCGTGCAGGACCTCAAATGCTCTCTATGCAGGTAAGGCAGCAGGTTCCAGAGGCTGTGCTTTGCCCAAGGTCACATGGTTACCACGTGGCAGAGCTGAACTTGGAAACTGAGGCTCCACATCTGTGCCCAAGGAATTTCTACTGTCCTGTGCTGCTGTCTCTTCTGCACCCATGCAAACAGGAGCAAGCTCATTCCAGCCACTACCCTGAATTTAGACCCCAATGGAGTGGCCAAGGACTGTCTGTGAGCAGGAGAGAATGACCTGCAAGGCACACTGGGTTCAGCTGACTTTTATCCTAAGTTGTGGGCACTACACCAGGTGCCTCAACATGTTACTGCTAATCCTGGTCTCAGAGGGACCAGGTAACTATCTCAAGGTCACATGGTTTCTCAGTCAGTATCTCCAATCCCAGAACTACGTCCTCTCCAGAACGTCATGCAGTACCTTAAATAGAAAGACTGACAGCAACCCCCCCTCAGTACCCACTCACCACCATCATTTTTGGAGAAGAGGGCAGCCGTGATGTCACGTCCCAATGCATCACAAGCGCTGCTGTGGGCCTGCTCTGGGAACTTCCCTTTGAAATCATCCAAGCACTCCAGGGCCTCAGCCACGTACTTGAGCTCAAAGAGGCATCGGGCCAGGCGGAAGTGTGCCTTCAGGTGGCATGGATTTAGGGAGATGGCCTTGAGGCAGTCCCTCAGAGCATCATAGTGGTCACCATCCCTAGAAAAGCAAGGGAACGTGGCTTGGAGGTGGGGCCATGTGGCATGCAGGAGTCTCCACTCAGTCTCCTTCACTTTCAGTGGCCACCCCACCCCACCCCACCTTTGAGAGATCTCAGGGCAAAGGTATTGGGGGAGGGGTAAAGAGAATCTTGGATCAGCCCAGGCCTTGCTCCCCAGAAGACAGGGTTTGTTAAGGAGGCAAGCCAGGAACCTTGGGGTCTAGGGTAGGTAGGAAATGGGAGGTAGGTGGTGGCAAAAACCAGTATCTGGCTGCCCTCTGCTGGACACAGCGTGCAACTGCGCATCCACTCACACCAGGCACCCGCAGCTCTGCAGCAGAAGGCCTGGCATCTTGCCCGCCTCAGGCTCCCCAAGCCCTCCTTCTCTCTTCCTCCATCCACCTCCTCAGACCCCACCCCCCCACCCCCGGCTGGCCTTCAAAGCGACGTCTGAGGCAGGGGGCCCTCAAGGACAGTTCTGTGGTCTGGTGAAGCCAGAAGTGCCAGGCTGGGGACTGAGGGTCTGACCAGCAGGCAGCAAACCCTCAGCCAGACCCCCCTCCGTCCTGGCTGACTGATCCACAGCAGCTGTGGCCTCTACCTCCCGGGGCTGGAGGATGGGGCCTGACAGTCTGGCAGAGTCAGTTCTCTGGAACCTGATGGCTGGGGTGGGGGGGTTGCTGCACACCAGGAGCTCCAAATCGTCCACACTCACTTCTCCAAGCCCCCAAAGCAATAGATACGGGGAAGTGGGAATGGTTTTCTTTGCGGGGAGTAGTTGGGGGTTGGAGGCAAAGGAGAAGCCCCTCCTTCTCCCACTGTGGGCCAGAATGTAAGATACACATTCCCCCAGCTCTGGAGACCAGTTCCCACCTCTCAACTGGAGAGCCGGATGGGTCCCTAGGAGCCACTTCTCCTTTGGGAGCTGGTTTTTTTCTTTTTT